GAATTTGACTAATATTGTCACGGACCTCACTGAACAAATCAGGGGAGATCCAGAGAAGGAGGCTATGCGACAAATGATCATGCAGAATCGAGTAGCATTAGATTTTGTTTTATCTGAAACTGGTGGTGTGTGTCAGTTAATTAAGGATCATTGTTGTACGTTCATTCCATCATCCAACTCAAATTATTCACTAATTTTGGATCGACTAAAAAGTCTTAAAACTGAGATGCTAAGTGAGCGAGACAATGACAACATGAATTGGGACTTATTGTCATGGTTTTCTACTGGAGCATGGTGGCAACTGATATTGAAAATAGCGACACCTGCAATAATGATTTTGGTTTTATTTTGCATATTTGTCACTTGTTTGTTGCCATGTGCTAAGTCTTTAACCAACAGAATGATAAACACTGCAGTTGCAGACACATTGTTTTCGGATCAATGTCAAGCGTTGTTAGCTCACACAAATGTAAATGATGATTTTGATATTTCTGTGTAAGTTTGTTATGAAGGTATTGCAGAAAACTGAGAAGAGTTGTAATGCTGGATGTTGAAACTTTACATTTATATATTATGAATAGGGGGGAATTATGTCAATGGAGTATGTTATTGTGTTATTATCATATTAATAAATGTAACGTTTAGTCTAGGATCTAAAAACTAGTAGTAAGCAGAGTAAAGAATGTATGGAACCACCCCCCAGCTATTAAACACAGGAAGTTAAATTAAAGCAAGAACGCAGAGAACATCTGTTTAGAGTAGCCTCAGGCCTACTCACACAGGGGCTATTTGTTTGTTCTGAAACAGAGAAGGTATTGTCTTCACCTAAGGATGTTGAGACACATGTCTTCAATTATCATGTCATGTGACTGTGTGCTTATCATCGATAGCCTGTTCTTGAAGCGGAGTCTTTTGCTTTTGGTTTTGCCAGGGAGAGGACCCAGATTGGAGCAACCAGTCTGCCATTTGTCTGTATCCTGTAACCTGTATTCTGTCTTTTATATATTAAACCTTTTTTATATATCTAAGCAGAATTTGTAGTGTCCATTTTTCATCGAAGGAGAAACCGTGGCTGAACCAGCGTTAACAGAAAATAATAATCTGGATGTAGGTGTCCAGGAATATACATATATGTGTTTTAAGTTTACGTTTATTAAAGAAAACCCCTTGAGATGAATCATCTCATTTTCGAGGGGGTCCTAAACATAAATACAAACATATTAACAAACACGCATACACAACAACCACGCATACACAACAACAATTTACAAAGAATTAAAAATGACAAGTTAAATAAAAAAAATAAAACATGAAACAAATGCTCCTCCCCTCTGCTAAAATCAAACATTTAGAAAAGACAAAGTAAAACTATTAACAATAATGACAAGAACACAGAACATTAGTGGCATGAACAAGGAGTTTCAAGAAACCTAAATAATTCAAACTTAAATAAACCAAAAGACAGAATGGACCGTATGGATGTGGGGAGTTTATTCCAGTCTGATGGAGCCTTATAATGAAATGATCTGCGTCCAACTTCTTTAAAAACTCTTGGAACAGAAAAGGTGAGACAATGAGAGCTTCGGAATGAAAAAGGTGTAGAGAGAGGGACAAAAAACTGTAAATACTGCAGACAACTAAAATGAAATAATTTAAATAAGTGCATCCAGTGAAGGTGACGTCTGATGTGAGGCTGAAGCCGGTGAAGGTTCTCATAAAGTGATATGGACATTTGAGAATGAATCTACAGAGACAGTTAAAAAGTGTATTGAGTGGTTTGAGATGGAAGGGAAATGTTTTTTTGATAAAAGACGTCAGCGTAATCGATGATGGGGAGAACCAGTTGTGTAATTATGCGTTTTCTGACATTGAGGGTGAAGCTGTGAGATGATCGGAATAATGGGCCCATTGTGGCTTTCTAAGTTCTTCTGATGATGGAGTTGATGTGATGTTTGAAGTTAAGTTCAGGGTCCAACCAGAGGCCGAGATATTCGATTGTGTCTGCATTGTGCATTTTGGAACCGTTGTTAAAGGTATAAAGGAGGATTTTCCCATATTTTAGGAAAGAACCGCCCTTTCTACTTTTTGAACAAAACTCTCTGCTCTTATAGGACAAGGACGTATAAACAGAATGATTGACATTTGGGAGGACCAATAGTGTTGATGATCCACCCGGAAGTAGAAAATCCTCTTGTATACCTTTAAAGTAAATATGGATATCAGGGGAGTGGAGTAATTTTTTCATGTTTAAAATTAATTTATTGTTTGAGAGCCAGTTTTGTGTGGAGTCAAAATCAAGTTGCAACAGATTTTGGAGAGATGTGATGATGAGTTTGAGTTGTAAATAACTGTGTCATCGGCGTAGATGTTTATGGAGCAGTTGGAAATAACGTGTTGGAGATCATCATCATCTTATCCTGGACCCTGAGTCTGTAATAAAGTTTGATGATGATGATGATGATTAATAAAAATTTAAAAAAGAAGGGGGCCTAATGTGGAGCCCTGTGGAACACCTTTATAAACTATAGCTCTCCCTGATCGTGCAACATGACAAACAACATATTGAAATCGACTGTGAGGATATGAATTGAACCAAAGAATAGCATTTCTGTCTAAAAAAACCTCATTTGTGAATTTTAATAAAGCAGTTGTTGTAGAAAACCCTGAACGAAAACCGGACTGAAAAGGAGAAAGTATATTGACTTAATTCATGTAGTGATTTAACTGTTGGAATATTATTTTTGAGGGATCACCTTTGTTGAAAACAGGATTGACTCTGGCAGTTTTAAAAATTGATGGAATTGTTGAGGTTTTTATTGACAAATTAAAGAGGTCGGATAAAGGAAACATGAGGACGTGAGCAGCAATTTTCAGAAAGTTAACTTCAAGATTGTCTGGACCAGCTCCGCAGTTTGATTTTAATTCATTTAAACAAGTATAAACAGTAAGTGGAGATATTTTTGAAAACGAGAAAGAAGGACCAGCACGAGATGTGTTTTGGCAATCACCAGACACAGTTGTTAGGGATTATTTTGTTTATGGAAGAGAAATATTCATTAAATGCTTGAGATATTTTGATTGGATCTGATATATTTTCATAGTTTACTACTACATTTCAGTTAATTTATTTTTAGATTTGTTTAAGACCAGATGAAGTTGGGCCCAGAATTTCTTTGGGTTGTTCATGTTTTGAGCAAACCCCTCTTTGAAATATTCAGATTTTGCGTTCCTTGTTTGTGTTGTGCAGTTATTTCTAAGTAATTTGTAAGTTTCCCAATCAGCCGGATGTTTTGTTTTGTTTGTGTTTTTCCCATGCTGCATCTCTTTCTCTGCAGAGGTGATCCAGGGGAGCGTTTTGAAAGGGGCGTGTTTGTTGATGATGTTGGTGAATACAGACGCATCCTCAGCATTTGGAATGAGTTTAAACCGGTCCCAGTTAATATTTAATACATCATTAATAAATCTGTCTGTATTCAGATTCTTGGTTTGTCTAAATGTGATGGGGGAGTTTTTATTTTCCAGACACAGAAAACAATGGAATGATTTCTGAAGCAATCTGCCATGACACCAGAAGAGGAGATTCTGTGGAGCCAGTTACAGTTAAAGTCACCCAAGTTCGTTTTTTAAAGAAACTAACTCTTTCATAGAGTCAGCCGGAACAGACAGGGCCTATAGATATTAGTGATGGTTAAATGTTTGTTGGCGTGAAAGTGAATATCAACAGATAAACACTCAAAGTTAACTGGCTCATCAGTTGGAAAGACACGCACTGAGGTTAAGTTATTGGATACATATGTTGCCACACCACCTCCTCTTGAACCTTGATCCGATCGATGCAAAACAAATCTATCAATTTTTACCTCATCATCTGAGATACCATTGTGCAGCCACGTTTCTGAAATACTGATGTTAGGTTTGTACTGGTGTGACCACAGTCTGAGAAAGTCCATTTTAGATACTATGCTCCTAAAGTTCAGATTCATTATTTTCAGTCCCTTTGTTGTCATTTTCATTTATTAACCATTAGATAAATGTGACAGTGCAGGGGGAGGAGCGAGCACGGAGGAGCTTGATCAAAAAACAAATTCATACAAACACAGACAAACGTGTCAATCTCTGAAGAGAGACTGGCAGGAGCAAGGATAAGTAAGAGTACAAAAAACCTATCAAAAAAAAAAATATTCCCAGAAACCCCCTCCCTGAAGTCCAAAGTTAAAAACTAGGGGGTAAACAATAATCAACCCATTTGGTCCATGTGCACCCACAGTTACTATTTTACTTGTTTTAAATAATACAAAATTCAACACTATATACAGTACATATATATATATATATATAGTATGAAATACACAGATAATAGGAGTACGATGTTGGATGATGATCAGTTCTTGTTTTCCACAAAACAAAAAACTTAAAAGTAAATTTCACAGTAACAAATATATTGTAGATTTTGGTGCGGCAGAAGCAGGAGATAATATTCTTACTATTTCTGTGAACTTAAAACATCACATGCAGCAGTTGTATGCAAATTCCATTCTGCTCTGAACACAGTTTGATATAATGAGGATTCACTCTCCATAGTTACAAGAGAGCCGTCAATCAAAGCCCACGCCACGCCCAACTCTAAGCCCCCCTTCTTGTCCCTTGGTCCTCCTGGGCAACGCCCATTTTGGGGAGAATTTTCAAATGTTCATGTGGGCGGAGTCAGGCTGGGCACTGGTGTTTAGTTGATCTTTAAAGTGAACCAGGTTTGAGCTATGAACATTTGGACAGAAGGGGGGGGGGGGACGTGTCTGATTATCTGCACCAATGTAAACTTCATGCAGAATGAATCGGTATTTTGAAAGGATTTAGGGGAAAAAAATAGAAAAACACCTATAATGTACGAATAAAGGGTGGTGACCTGCTTTTATATATGAAACAATGTTGAACTAACTTCTTTTTCCCACAAAAAAATATCAAACAATAAAAATATGCTGAAATGTTTGTTGGACGTTGTCTCAAATCCGAACATCGTCGAACTGGAAGGCTGCGTTGTCTTTGCCTCGTCGTTCCCACCGTGCTCCGTCTTCTGGCAGCTTGTAGGAAAAATTTATGATCGCCGTGACAACCAGCAGAGCCACACCCACGAGACCTACCCACACGGCCCCACCCACCTGCTGCTCCTCGGGCGTTGGCGGGAGTTTGAAGTCTGGCGGGAAGTTGATGGAACCGCCGTGCAACACAACCACGGCGTTCCACAGAAGCGGAATCAGCGACAAGATGGCCGCCAGCAGAGTGAGCACGCCTCCTGAGCGGAAAGCAAACCTAGTGCGCTTTTTTATCCCGAAAAAGGCGTTCCGTAATGCGTAGAGAAGAGCAGCAAAGCCTAGGATTCCGCTGGCTAACGACACGAACATTAGAATCTGCGCGGCTGTGATTTCCAGAGGCGTGAAAGCATCGCAGAGGTGGAACGAGGAGCAGTGCATAACAAGGAGCTCGGGGGAAGCGTCATGGTGGGGAGAAGAAACACGCACGGAAGATACCGATCCATGCGATGCCGGAGGAGACACTCGGGTGTTGCGGGATCAGCCAGACACGCCACTGCACCAGACCCAGCGACACGGCGAGCAGAGAACACCCCACTAGCCCCAGCGGGAGAGCTCCAAGCTGCGCCTGAGCAGAGTGCGCCAAGTACACCATCTGGAGGACGAGGAGGGAGCAACAGTGTGACATCAGCGTTGTGCTTTATTTAAAAACTAACAGTTCAAGAAAGAGGAGTGCTTCAGTCAGTCATTTTTTATCAGATGCTCATCAGGATCAGCAGTGAAAATACTCTAATAACGTCAGTTCAAACAAAAGAAATGCAATAAAGGAAGTTTATTTAAACTGGTTAATTCTCTGATCTTTGGCAAATTCAGCGGTAAAGTTTTGTAAAGTCCTTTGAGATAACTACTATCGTGATTTAATCTATACAAGATTAAATTTAATTGAAAGAGAGTTCTTTTTTTAGATTCCTGGTAAAAGGACGGAAGTGGGACAAGTATAGGAGTTGGACCCCTCGGCGACGTCATGAGTTTTGATCCCAGTGTAAGCAATAATTATTTATTTTATAGTGGAAACCACTCCGATTTTGGTCTTTGTATAGTCCTCCTTAAGTTTTGTGTAACTTTTTACAACATTGTTTCTGAGTGTGATGAATCCCCAGTGCTTCGATGTCTGCTAACATCTTTTCATTTTGCCGCGATGCCTCAAACCTCATCTGAATTTCTGTGGTGCTGTAC